TTCGACCTCATTTAATATGACTGCAGCATATTAACATTTTTGCCTTCTTTCTTCTACTATACTGTAGATTCTCAAAACGTGAGTTTTTTTTGCTTAGAACTGGTTATTACAGCCTCTATTGTCCTGTATCAATATGTAGCCATTTGGAATATTGTTAGGTTCATTAAGCTAACCTTTGCGTGAACTGGTACTCGCTGATCAAAGATGCTTAATTTCACATTTCTAATATACACCCTTTCTCTGTTCAGGCTACAGGTTCTTATCAAGAAGTCTAAGAAGAAACTCGTCAAGAAAATTTGAAATTACATCAAGAGATTTTAGGCTTGAGAGAACAACTTTCCAATTCATCTTCTCAAATTTCTGAAATTTTTGCAAAATGTAATCTTTTAGAAATAAAACTAATTGAACTTTCTTCTCGTTTATATTATCGAGATAATAGGTTTAATCATCTCAAAGAAGCATATAATCGACATAAAGAAGAATTACGTTTTCTTTAAGAGAATGGTCGTTTACAAGATCAAGAAAGAATTAAAACATTAAATCAATCGGTTGAACAACTCAATAGTGATTACAATTATGTATTTGATCAGCTTCATACATAAAATTTGTTAAAATAGATTATTTTTCTTTTTCTTTTTCTTTCTTTCTTTCTATTTGATGTACTGTATTTTGATAATTATTTAAATAAAATTTTGCATATTATTACATTTTGTCTTTTATAAAATTGTCTAATATTATTTTAAGAGCTGCTAATTATACTGTTAACACTTTGACTTTCACTCTTTTTTTCTTTTTTTAAATAAATTAAAATAATGATTATTATCCCTTTCGTTAATGTTATACTATTTGTTTTTTCTATCCATTTTAGTTAATCTATTAAGTGAGAATTAAAGATTCTTCTAATGGAAATTCAAAACAATATTTTGGTCTAAAATCTACACCTATTGTATCTGTAAAATTGAAAATTAAAATTAATAAATAGAATTTCTTATTTTAACAAAATGGAAAGATTTACGATAATTTTATAAACCTTTAAAAATCTCACTTTTATCCAAACACCTCAAAAGGCTCTTACAGCTGTTGCTTATATTTTCAATTTTACAAATCCATAATTTTATCATTATATTAAAAGTAACTTTCAATTAAATTAAATTCATATTGTAAATCCCTTCTGATGCTTTGATTTTCATATACAACACAAATATTGCTATAATATAGTAGTTGCTGAGACAGTTGAGATGGTAGTGTTTATAAAGGTTAATTTGGATGAATCTGTTATTGATTTTTAGATGGTTTGTTAGGGTGGTTTATCTGGGTGGTTGAGAAATATGATGCGCAGGAGGAGGTAATTGATATCCTGAAAGAGATAATTGTTGTCTGGATTGTAATTTTGGAACATTATATATTATAAATAGTGGTTGACCTTGTGGTATTATTGGATGATCTAGTAATGGTTGACCTGGAGGAGATTGCGATAGGTGGCCTGAGTTTATATATGCAGTATATTGTAAAATCTTAGATAAAACTAAAAGCAATTTAGTATGAAAATCAGGTCTAGACCTAATATGGTCTAGAGTTCTAAAGCCCAGTTTAAGAACTGAATCAGTGATTTACCAAAACAGAATTTCTAAATACAATGTTGATTGATATTCTAGAAGTTCATGAAAATTGGCCGATTATTCTAAAATTTAAATTATAATTTTTTTCTTTTTTACATTCTTTTTCTTCCTCTTCTCTTCCTCCCCTTCCTTTTCTCTTCCTTTCTCTTCTCTCTTCCCTCCCTCTCCCACTTTCTCTCTTTCTTTCCTTCTTCTTCTTCCTTTTTTCTTTTTTGTAGAAACCTTGATTTTAAATTTTCTTGAAGATATATCTCTCGATAAGTTTCAGGCAGGTGGAGCTATTTATTAAGAAAGAAAGAACATTATTAACATTCTATTTTCTTTCTTTTTTTTTTCTTTTTTTTTGTAGAAACAGAAACATTTGGATCTTGTAACCTCTTATATTGACTCTTGAATGTAGATTTGAATGGGTGGAGTTATTCTTTGATAAAAAGCATTTTTAACATTTTTTTTTGTTTATTTTTTTGTAAAAACAGCTTCTAAAACCATTTGGATAATGAAATTTTTCTTGGATCAGCTCTTAAAAGGTAGATTTTGAATGGGATGGAGTTCTACTTTGAGAAAGAACTTTTCTAATATTCTTTTTTTTTTTTGTAAAAACGGCTTTTGTGAACCTTTAGATTATGAGATGTCTCTTGAATCAATGCTTAGCCTTACTTGTCTGTTCACAAATTTATTTCATTAATTATATAATTAAAAAAATCATAACAATAGACTAATTAGTAATGTACAAATTTTTTAAATACATTATAAATAATAAATAAATTATTCAAATATTATATTTCTTATTATTACCAATATTCAATTTATTGCAGTATTGGCTGATGTACATTATCACTTTTGATTCTCTTTAATTTTTTATTATACTAACTGATTTTCTGAATACTAATTAGTAGAAAATTATATTTATCGTAATTTAATTATAAAATTAATATATATAAAAAAAGCCTAATTTTAAATATGGTTTAAAAGAAAACTGCTTTATAAAAAGTTTTGTGGATTCTTAAACTAATTTCTGCAAAAAAAAAAATTTATAAATCATTAAAGTTTCCTATAAAAATAATTGGTATGATTAGTGGAATATTCTAAAATCAATTTTAAATTTAGAAATGTTCCTAAAAGAATTGTAGATCAATTTATTTTTTATAAAGAACGTCCAATATCGATTTAATTATATCAAGGTATTACTTTATTTAAACTTTAATTTTATTGATAATTAATAATCAACAAAATAGTATATTTTTATATTTATCATTATTCTGTTTTCTTAGTTCAGACAATTCTTTTTCTAAAGCTACTTTTTGCTTTAATAATTCAAGAGCCCGTTCCTCCTGTTCTAACCATTTTTGTCTTGTTTCAATATCATTAATTTGTATAACTTCATTTGAATTATTTTATTTTTCTGCTTTTTAGGTGATCTAGCTACTAAATTGCTAGTAGAAGCTATGATTTCTGATTCCTTTCCTTTTTGTTTTTCTAAAATTATATGTAATAAATTATCCTTTATTAAGCATGTAATTATTAATTAAAATATTAAATTAATTAACTTACTTGAACGTTTAGCAGCTTCTTTATATCTATTGACCTGTGATTTATTTACATCACTACTTTGCTGAAACTTAGATTTTTTTAACAATGCATCAACTATGATGTGACATTATAATTTCAACAAAGTAACAGCATAATTTATAAATTCATAATAATAATATAATTATTACTATTATTATAATATGTTAATAATATTATTGTTATAAATTTTTATCTAATAAAATAAAATCAAAACGTCTTTGCAACACCTGTATATTTATTTTTACAACATTGTTATCTTATTTATCACTAATCGACTATCAAGAGATAAATTTCACGATCTGTAATATTATTAAATTGTGAATTTTCTGCAGTATTTGTAACATATTCAGTATTGTGACTTGATATCAATCTTATTATATAATGGTACAATATTAATCATTCTTTCTAAGCTACACCCACTAGTTCGGTTGAATTGTTGATCGATCAATTATACTAACCAAAATGGGCTATTTGTTTATATTCGTATAATCAAGAAAAAAAAATACAGTTAATTATTCGTATTCGTATAATAAAAAATGCTGAAAAATAATTAGAAATTTTTTATTTTTCTTTCCGCCTTGAATATGGCGATATTTAAATAATAATATAAAGCTTAACGTGATTAAGATAATGATTAGTTAAATCATTATTAGGTCCAGTGACCATGACGTTATGATGATAAAAATACATAAAACTATTTAAAGTTGACTAACCAGATTCCTTACGATTCTTAATTCACTTTGGTTAAACTTAAAATGGTCAAGACACGAAAATATAATAAAAGAAATGCTGGTAAGAGAAATTTTCTTTGACTATTAAAATATTCTTGTATTATTTATTATTATTATTATTTATATAAACTATTAGCTTCCAAATCTCCTTTGAGACCTGTTGAAACAAATAACTCTCTTGAAGAAGCTGAATCACAAGCTACAAATACTATGGAAAGCAAAAGAAAAAGGGTTTCATGTCGTATGAATGCAAAAAAGAAACAAGAGAAAATGATGATGATGATGGTATATGTACAATCTTATTGATGTTATTTTACCATATGTGGATAATACTATACTAATTTATTATACAATTTAGATGTGATTCAAACTGCAAGTGGTTCACGTTCTTGTAAATTTAAAAATACTATACAATAAAACAAAGAATCAGAACAATCATCAGTATCAAATGTCTCATCTCTTTTAATCCGAAGCCATTCACCTGAAAGTTTTTATGACCAACGATTGCCAACATATAACATTGCTCCATCTTCTTCAATCAAAGATCATTCACTTGAAAATACTTATGACTAACGATCATCAGTATTAAACATGACCAATATTATATCATCCTTAACCGGAAGCTATTCATTTGAAAGTACCAATAACCAACTATCGATAGCATCAAATACAACAAACATCACCACATCTTCTTTAATCGGTCCATTTAAAAATGATCTTGAAGTTTGTTTGTATTTGGTACAGTATCCAGAACTTATTAATTTAACAATAAACATGATGAAAGCAGGCAGCCAGGAATCCATAACTACTTGAGAAAAGGTTGATAAGTTTAATGTGCTTCTAGAAAGGGTAGGTTTTAATATATAAATTGATAAATATTGCATAATTTAATTATTTAATTCAATTATTTATTGTTTTATTTAAAATAGGAACTTGGAACGCTTCAAATGCATTTAAAATGCCTTTTTTTCGTACAAGAGTCATAAATAAGCAAATCATTGATGCACTAATAAGGTCTTTATTTTCAAATATTCAAAATACTAGAGCATCCGATCGTGCTGCATTACAGACGTGGGTTTTTGGATGCTACCGTGATTATAATGCATCAATGAGACGTGAACTTCGAAAGCTGGTCCCTGAATTCATTAGGAAATACAGGTAATGTTTATAAGTTATGGTTTTATGTTATTGTTTGCTATTAATTTGATAATAGAAAAGACTAAAAATCATTATACTGTAGATTGACTAAGAGTAAACAACCGACAATGCAACAGATTACTGGGTATATTACAGAAAGCAATTGGATAGCTTTCTTAAAACGTCATATGGATGTGGTAAATGAGCAAAAGACGTTCAAGGACCAACCCAAAAATGTTATCAAATTCAACAATTTTATACAATCGGCATTTAATCTTTTCGTTTAAGAAAATCTTTTAAACAAAGATGTGATTGATGCTATCAAGATCTAAATTATATGACAGTTGAATGGAAATATTTACAGCTGATGGAAAAGATTCTTTGCAACAATTGGATATTAGATCACTTCTCAAGTTGGACTAGCACGTAATGTTATTAATGAGATATAATGTTATAATAATTGGTTGATAATATTGCTAATACTGCTTACAATATATAATTGATAAAGAAAAACTTAATAATTCAAAATTTGTCGCTTTAAAAATTATTGTATTATTTAATGATAGCATGATGGTTAATAAATAAAAAATTCGTTACATTTATACAAGAAATTACAAAATTATTTAATGTTTTCTGGTTGTATCATCGGTTGATTTTTTCTAGTTGATATACTAGTATATATCACATGATATTGAAAATCTGCATAATGTCAGCAAATTTAGAAATAAAACAAACTTTTTTTTAAAAAAAAATTGTCAGCGAAATAAAAATATTTTTCCTAATTCAAGAATTGCCTTTGTTTTTTTTTTTCAAAGAAATTATACTACCAAATATTTTAACCTTATTTCTTATAAACAACGTTTTCTACTGTAGACTGACAATACATTAGAAATGAAAAGAGTACGAACCAAGAAAATGACACAAAGAATTGCATTACGAAAACATATTACAATTAACATTTCTAGTGTTATACAAAGAGAAGAATGTTCATAAGCACGTATACTTTATGATTCACAAAACAACATCAACTAAATTTTACCAAATTTATTAAATTGTGAAGATGATAATAGTGAAAGTTTAGAAGATTTGTCAGATAAAAGTCAACATACTAATTATGAAACATCATTAGATTTTTATGATTTTGTATCTAATTTCTCTACAGCTTCAGATACATCGAGTAACGATGACCAATTAATGATTATAGAGGAAATCGAAAGGATAATAGAACCCACGCAAACTATAGTAAATAGCGAGACTGATTTTCAACCATAATCGGGAGAATATGGTCCTTATTTCAAGAATTTTATGGAGATGTTGTTTTTTACTTGGGTTACCAAGCATATGATTAGTGAGTAATAGTAATAAATATATAATTCTTTATATATATGTATATTATTGAATGAAAACTGTTTATTAGCTACCAATGCATACGAGGACCTT